TATATATATATATATATATATATATATATATATATATATATATATATATATATATATATATATATATTTAAGAGATTTAAGCCAAAAACATTAAGCATTTTTTTTTTTTCCTGTACAATATTTGTACCTTATCATATTCTGGAAACACGGCATGGATAACTGTAAAAGGTTTGCGAAGTGCAATATTATTTAAGTTAAATTATAGAACGCAGTTAAATTTATTTTACACAGAAATAAAAAATCTTGATCACAAGATTCCCTCCCACAAAATTCCCATTAAATGAATCAGAGCAGAGCAGAACAACCAAGGTTGAATAAGAAATGCTGCGGCTGCAAAACAGCTTACATGTAGCAAACTGTGTGTCCTCAAGACTGCCGGAAGGTTATCATTTCAGGTCGCCATTATAACAGAGTTAACAGCTTTCACCCTGGAGCCAATGGGCCTCTTGGTTTGCAGCCTGGGATAGAAAAAAATACAAAAGATAATCCCTAGAAGTAAATTTCAAATCAACCTGCATTTGTTATCATGCATTAAGGATTCAGGGCCAAGTGTGATATGCAGACGGGTAATTAGGGATAACGGCACAGCGTTACCTGAGTGAGAGGACAGATAAAACATACTGACAAAACATTATCCCAGATCTAAATCCAATGTGGCTTCCGCGAAATAGGTTGTTGGAGGAGTCACATAGGTGCATTATAGGATTGTGGACAAGGTTATTCACAGACATGGTGTCTTTTTGTTTTTAAAGGTCAATTTAGAGTGTAAAACAAAGGCAACACAGACGTAAAAAGTCATGTGCTTTGACTTTCAAACAGAAATATTCCAGAAAAATGGAATGAATGTGAATAAAACCTTAGTTGGAATTAAACCAAATGTTATAGTTGTTCAAGAATCACACTGTTTATAAAATGCCTTGAGATAACATTCATGTCGCATGGCATCAATACTCTGAATAAAATTCTTCTAAAATTGCAATTGGAGATCAGACGAAAGCTACTTTCATTATTTTTGTTTATCTCAAAGAGTGTAATTCCAGTAAAATAATGTCAGGCTTCAAGTGGCACCAAATTATAAAGCAGATTTATAAATCTTTTTTTTCAACTTTTTTTTATCAGAAGGATATAAAAGAAAATTCTTTTATGTTGGACACACTAATAACATTTTGCTGAACAAAGTCAATAACTAACTGCGTGATCTGAATGTGAATACATTTGTTGTGAAGTTAACATAAAGAAAGTGTTGGCACTCCATTTCTCCTCTCTCTGCCTCTGCAGCAGATGAGAGTGAGGTCTTTGGGATGGCGTGGGAGTTCGCTATCTCCCAGCCTCCAGATGGCTCCGTCTTCTCTTATCTAGAAGAATGGGTACCGCCTCAATTTTTCAACTCGCCTTATCTGGGAATCCTTAAATTGAATATTTACTGGTCCTGTGTTTTCTGCCTGCGCTAGCCCTCAAAAGTCGACATTCCCTTTGCTTGTTCAGACAGGGCAAAAGGTTTTTCTCACTCACACACTTCTTTTGTCCGCTATGTCAAGCAGTAGGACAGTGATTGATTACGTGATTGCTATAGTAGGGAATTGAAGGTTAAACAGTTAAGCTGAGAACTGGGGAGGCATATTTACAAATGGCCACAAAGGAAATATAGGGAATAATAGAGAAATATAGACTATCCAAACATGACATCAGGCACCTTCATTTAATGTCAGGAAAACAACTAAATATATTAAAGATTTTAATTCTATTGTTTGCTGCACAGCATTCACAAGAGGATAAGAGAACCCTTAAGCAGCCATTGAAAACATCTTATTGCGATTTGACTGGCTGTGGTCTATCTGCATAAACAAGCTGTGCCACAGCTACTCCCTGGTAAGTGTCTGGAAATGTCTTTTCAAAACCATTTTGTGGAATGTCTCCATGTTGGATTAATCAGTGCAGCTGAGGATGTAATTGCTGTGCTGAAGTAAAAGCTGTAAGGACAGATAATGAACACTAACTCCACTGCTGCCAGAATCCAGGGAGAAAAAAATAGAATATGGCAAGTTTGAAGACCAAAATGTCTTCATCATTCTTTTTGAAAAGATGGAAAATAAAGGTTCAGTGTATTTGCACAAACGATGAGCATATATATATATATATATATATATATATATATATATATATATATATATATATATATATAAACATTTGAGGTTCAGTGGATCTAAAAATGCCTTTTATGACTCATTTTCTGTGGTTTTTGAATTTTAAGAACAATGATGGAAAATGCTATGCATCTGGACTCATGCTATGCTTCTGAAATATCTGATATTGTTTTTTTATTTTGAAGCTGAATGTATAGTGAATGAATGAATAGGAAGTTATTTCAGACTATTTTAGATAAACAATTTGACAAATTTGTCTGTCTGAAATAGAGTATATAGCAAATACCGTGTTCATAATATTAGTACTTGGTATATTTGTTATACTCGTAGAAATAATATGTTAAGAAAACTAAGTAAACAGAACTTATAGTATCTAGATCGTAAAGCAGCTGAGTTTTGCTGCCCTCTAGTGAAGAAAGATGCTGAGAATTACCTGCATACAGTTCAACTATAAATAGTCAAATAATGCATTAGTTACAATCGTTGTGAGTATATTTTGCACAAAATATCAATTATAACTAATTTATTGGTTTTGTTTTAGTTGTTCACCATTACAGTTATTTTAAAAGAAGAATTTATAAAAGGCATCATGTGATGACAGCATGTTTCTCACCCTTTACATTACTTCTTTGTTCACATAATGGTTCACACATTTTTTTATTGCCTGAAAATCAGAGACTTGGGTACGTTTTGGCAAAGGAGGAACAAAAAAAAACACATAAAGGAAGATGCAAGTATAATGACTTGATGGTTTAATATTCAGGTCATGCTTTTCCGTTTTCCTTTTATTTATTTATTTCAGCTTTCCTCCGATATTTCTCCTTGGTGACTAATATTGGTCTGGATGAAACAGGGTTCAAACTTGTTTACACTAGATTCCTCTTCATGTACATGCTAAAAAAAAAGAAGAAACATTTGTTTCTTCAGATCTTTAGTGAGAACCTGCTTTAATTTTTCAAGCATGTTAAACCTTTTCTTGTTGTTAACACCAGCAAGCAGTGTCAGGAACAGAGAAAGACCTCAAATTATGCTGAATGACTGTCATAATGTGATGAAATGTATGTGGATACAACTGAAATAAAAAAAACTGTAAAGTTGTTTTAAGTTGATAGTCACTATTTTTTCTTAGAAAAGCTAATTATTTTTATTAAATGACATAAATATTTATATTACTCAGGCTTATTTTTTTAAATTACACTTTAAAATTACATTAAGTCTTATGTTAGAAGCCATATATTAAAAGTTGTTAAATTTAACAAATGCAAATAATAAGGTATGACATCAAACATCTAGAGCATGGGATAAAAGGATTAAGCTGTGTCTCTAGTGTTGCTAGTTAAAATCCACACCACGGCTGGCAATATTACTAAATGATTTGGTTAATTTGAATTCAAACAGTCTCAGCAGGGTTTCCACTCTGCACAGTGGGGGAATTGGTCGAGTAATATCAACACAGTTGTGATTACTCCATTGAAACAGTGGGTTGCTCCAATCAGAGCCGAATAACTCTCCTCATTACAGACTACAAGGCCAAATCTCAGTGGGTGGACTACTGAGTAAGACTTCACATTTTCTACTCTGAAATAATTGAAATTCATTTTTGGCACCCTGATGTTTGCCCATCACCAACAAACTTTCACATTTGCAAAATGACCTGACATGCATTTACTTTTCAAGTTCGAGCGGGTGTATATGCAAAGATGGCAAGTGTTAACCTTGTCATTAACAGTAAACATAATGCCACTGTAAGGCATGTTTTTTTGTTAGAAATACTAAATGTCTTTGGAAACATTAATACAATAAAAATAGAAATACAATAATAATATATGGGGGGTGGGGGTGATCGTCTAGTGGTCAAAGCAATGCGCTTGTGATCTGAGAAGGTTGGAAGTATCCGGTTCGATCCCCACAGCCTCCACTCTGGTTTTCTGAGCAAAACCCTTAATCCCACACTGCTCCTCGGTCACCACACATTGGCAGCCAACTGCTCCCCAAGGGGATAGGTCAAAATGCAGTGAGTTAATTTCTCGATTGTGAGACCAATAAAAATCAATTTCTCTTTTCTTTTTTCTATTTTCAAAATAATTGTGTACATCTGTACTAATGGTTTAAATGAGCATACGATGTATCATTTACTGTATATGATGATTCATGTTTCTTAGATTTCTGCATGCAAAAAACACTCGACTAATTCTGTTTCTGAG